GCACCACCCCTCCCCTGCAGCAGAGCCACAGGCTACACCTCCATCACAACTCGGTTCACTGTGCAGCAATGCAAAGCATCCTTACTTCACCCCACTCTTACAAACCTGAGTTTGTGCCACTAAAATGTCTTTAATACAAAGTTGAAACACAGCTCCATTCTACCGACTCTGTGTGATGTCAGATTACAGCGATGTGTGATTAGAGCAGCTAACTGTCCGGTGGATTCACTGCTGCGAGGTAGTTTCCATCTCTGCTGCTCCTCCATGCTCGCTCATCTCAGTCACATTAGTGCTTTTTCCAACAGTGCAAACGACTCTGAGGTGGACTGTTGGTGCTCCGTGTTCTAACTGATTTATTTCTATGTTTTTCAGACAGTATGGTTCATTTGTCCAGCTCTTTCTCTTGGCACTGTATTGAAATGAAACTCATATTCTGAATCTAACAAGCTGTCGTCCTTTCATCATCATCATCATTATCATTGCTTGGTCCTTGTCTGCCCATCAGGTCAGGGAGGGGCCAGCCCTTCAGAGGTGGCTGAGGCCATGGTGGATGCAGTGGTGCAGTTTGTGAAGAGGAAACAGCCGAGGTTTGTTCGGAGTGTGAAGATCCTGATCTTCCAGACGGCCATGCTGAAACATTTCCACATGAGCATGAAGAAGAGACAGGAAGAGAGGGTGGAGGAGAAGAGTGTCGTTAGCAAAACTGAAGGTATTACATTGTTTTTTAATCTGTTAACAATAAATCACATTCAGGCTGATGCACTTTTTTACATCAGCTCTTCTTTGAACAAAACTGTCAGTGATGAAGATCTAAGAACAGAAACTGCTGCAGTGTCTTAAATATATTATATTTTACTATTCTCAATTAAAATATTGTTTATATGTTTTTTTTCAGTATAGTGTTTTTGTGGATTTTTCGCACATTGTTTTATGGAGATTGGACTCTATGTGACATTCACTGATCTCTTTGCTATAATACAACATTTTTTTGAGCTGTTTTAGACTAACTTTGTCTTTTGGGCTCGCAGCAGAGCAGCCAATCACTGCTGACTTAGTCCTGGAGAGGGAGGAGTTTAAGCCCGCAGTGTTTCAGCTGTGTGCCGATGACCACAAGGTACAAATTCATTCACGTCATGTTTCCATTCATATTTATTTATTTTACAGGAAGTCTGCTTCCTAGACAGAGGTCAGTGCATTTTAGGACGAACCCTTTCTTTAAATAGTCTTTTTACTTTAATAGTCAGGCATAAATATATTATTACACACAGTCTCTTTCTTTTATTAATATTGATCTCAGATCTTCCTACATGTGTAATGCAGAGCTCGAGGCTAGTTTAGCATAAATAACAAAGCAGCAGAGAAACAGAACAGAAACTTTTGTTTGGTCAAAAGTTCAGAAAACATTGTTAGAGAATGAATCCACAGTTCCTTCAGAGTTCAGCCTCCTCAAGTCTTTCATCACAGTGAGGTTCACTACCATCGTAAATATAGATCAAAGGAAAAATCTCTGCTTCTAACTGAGCAACCAAAACTATATTCAGAGACACTGAGTTGAAGTAACTGCTGGTCTGTATACGTGTTGCTCACGAGGATATAGTTCCAGTACACTCAGTAGAAT